CATCACTAACATAAAGCATCTTCTTCCTGTTCTTGATCCAGTCTCTGAAGCAATGATTAGGCCTGTTCACAAAGCAGTAGAAAACCTTTTGAATTGTTTAAGTTCCAACTACATTTAACTGTAGAAATGACCTTTAAAAATACCTTTAAGCTAATTTACGCTACATGTGCTGTGATATGGAATTTCAGTCTGCCAGATTTCTTTTACAAGTTTTTGTTTTCAGAAATTCTGTACCTGTGCATTTCTATATTGATTTGGAGTTGCTTTGTATTGCTTTTGTCTTGGTGGGGGTTGGAGACCCAAGTAACTGTGACTTCTAATCCCTTCTGCCTTTTTTTCACTGGCTTTAGGATGTTACTGGTGTTTTATTCCCTTTCTTCCTTTGAAAGTCTCTGGCAATCAAGAAAGTGACTTGGTTATCTAGGAAACACTTTGGAAATGGGACCTTGGGTCATTTATTCCAGGATATTTCAGAAATTTGATGAGAGGTTTTATTTTAATTTTAACTGCTATTACAGACACTTCAGGAAGCAGTGACTTTGATGAGAAAATGAGATAGTTGGATGATAAATATTGCAATTAAAGAGATTGTTTCCTATTTGCCATTTATGCTTGACAGATTTTTTACATCTGAATATGTAATGCTTTTGATACTTCATCACACTCCAAAACAATACTTAAATAATTGAAGTGGCGAAGAAATTAAGCTATATCCTAATGATCTACTTAGCGTACCTCCATACTGTGGACTGCAGTTTGGCACTGAGATACCCAAAGTAGCTTTGAAATAACTGTCTCCATTAACAACAGTAGTCATTGTATATTTGAGCACATTTGAACTCAAAGATAGTCTTGATGAAGAAGCAGAAATGTGAAGTTCTACTGTAGTTTGATCTTTTTTCATGACCTCTTCTCATCCAAAAAAACCCTGGATCAAGCTAAACATTGCCTGGCAGGAGAATAGGCAGCATTTTTTGACAACAAACCATGTTAGGTATATGTGCATGATATCCATGCCAGGTAATTTTTATATATGGCTGTAAAAATAAGGGATTTAGATGTTAAAGGTTGAGGAACAAATGAATGAGTCCTTTCTTCTATGGCACATAGAGAGAATTTCCTGAACAGCTGGCTGAAGTGACTTCATTGTATGGTACGTGCACTGGGCAGAAAAACAAGACGTCACATCATTTGCTGCAAACCCAAAATACATAATATGCGGGTTTTTTGATATCTGATTCTTGTCTCACAACATGTTGAAGTTGACTGATCAACCTATTGTGTGTCTGGGTTATGAAGTATGATTGGGTGAATTCAACCCTTACATAGCAGCAACTATTTAAGATTTCTGATTGCTTTTGTCATAAAACTTTCACCATTCACCACTTTTCAACAAAATTTTAGTGATTAAACTTAAAATTAATGATTTTATGAAATGTATGCTGTGAAATTTTGTAGTGTATTTTTTATAAAAAGATACCCGTCTTTTAATGCTTGTATTTAAATTCTGATATATGAGAAATTCCCATGAGATAGTATCACATTTTACAAAGGTACTGAAATACGAGTTACTCGAGTTTGAAAAAATAATTTTCTTTCTGCAGTGTTATGAAGATTAGATTGTTAAAGCTGGTTTTAGAGAACAGTTGATAACTGAATAAAGATGCAAAAGTATTTATATATAAAAATTTACTGTACTACTTAAAACATGTATCTCATTAGGCTAGATATAACTTTCTTAGTACATTTTAAAGATTTATTTTTTTTTTTACATACTAATAAATGACAATTTTCTAACGTGTTAGTGTTAGCTAGAATACTTTTAAATTCTGACTAGAGGAAGGAAAATTAAAAATTTTCAGTTAAAACAAATTTTGTTTTAATCCTCTACTGGAGAATTATTTTTATTGGCTTTCAATTAAAACTGCCAAAAATAGTTATTAGTTGAGCTCTACTGCCCCCATTACTTCATTCCTTCCTGTTCCTCTTTCATATATGTCATAAACTGATGACTCTATGAAGTTTCTGCCATTAGACCTATCATTATGATTGACATGGAAGGGCAGTGACCAAGGAAGGCTGATGGTACCACAGTCTTAGAGGACTCTAGAGCAGAATCATAAATGAAAAGAAATAGGGTGAGGTAATCCTCATAATGAGCCTTAAGATAGGACCTTTTTCCCTTAATTAATTGTACCGATTCCTACCTGAGATAATCTCGCACACATAAACCCTTTCTTAAAGTGAGTGGATTTGGCTCCCTGGCTCATACCTTTTCTGGAGTCAGGAATGACACTGCAATGAGGAAAAATACACTGCCACCCCAAGCTCCTCATTGCTGATACTGTCTTCTGTGCTATGCTTCCTGCAAAGAGCTTCACTGCATCCCTTCTGCACTGCCATGAAGATTATTTCTTTGCTGCAGCTAAGGTTGTGGCCTAGAAATTGAGAAGTGTGCTTATCTCTGGCTAGGCAAGCAGGGGGGAGTAAAACCAATATTTTATACTGTGGATGAAGGCAGAGAAACATTTAAAGAAGAAGGAAATTTTTTTTAAGACCATATCCAATCTCAAGAGTACTTTGGAGTGTGGGTGTTCATATGTCAGGATGATTAACGATGAATTTAAGTTTTTCATCAAAAAGCTATTCTTGCAGAGTTCTGGATGGCTCTGTCATGCATAGCTATCATCTCTTTAAAAGGAAATCTTGTTAAAGATAACTACTTCACAAGCTTGAGGAATTGATTCAAGCAGCTACTATTGACTGAATAGCTCTGCTCTTAAAAAAAAAAAAATCATTGTTTCAGTTAAAATAGCTGCATAAAATATTTTGAAACTAATGTGGAGAAAAAAACCACTACAACAGTACTATTCCTTTAATTGTGCTAAGAGTCAGAAATGTGGGGGGATGCTTTACAAGATAATATATTGGGGCCTTCTGAGGTTCATAAGAGCTAGGAGATTTATCTGGCTTTGGAGGTGGAAAGTTCTAAAAGTGAGCATGTGCCCACATTTTGGTCTAGCCTAAGTCTAATTTACTCTAAATCTGTATTTCAGAATCCAGTTGGTAAAGCCATTCTTAACAGCAATTATTTGAGAAATATGTTAACTTTATGACTTGTTCACATTCAGAGTTACTATTAAAAGATAATGAGCTGACTTAATGTTGTACAATATATGCAACAAAGACAACTGTAGTGGCTTTTATTTTAAAATGTTACAGTCTCATGATTGAATTGTAGCATGATGAAGCAATTGTACTACAATTTGTAAGAAGAAAATATATACATGGAAGAATTGTGTTAATCTTTATGTTTTCTACAACGAGTACAATAGAACTATTTATGATGTGACAAGGAAAGGGAAGAGGAAGGGATTTATGCAAACTGTCATGTAAAACCTAATTTAAGTTTTGAATATTTTTTTACGGAGATTAAAGAATGCTCTGGCTTATGACATTGAAATACTGGCTCAGTAGGGTGAAAGTTCCTACTGTTTCTTAAATTCAGTAGGTTTTGTATCCATATGTAGGTTAATAATAGCTTTGTTCTGTCGTTATTATACCGTTAGACTAATTCTGTCAAAATAAATTTTGGGAGTCAGAATGTACCCTTCAAATTTTTTACTTGTTGATGGTATTAATAATAACAGAGAAAATGGAATTTAATGCATTTGAGACTTCTGAAGAGGACAATCAAGAATAGAGATCCTAGGATTAAACTGAGTTGATACTAGTCTTTACATAATCATGGTCTTGCATAACCAAGGACATATTTGTTTTTAATGAGTAATCTGATTAATAAGGTGAAAACTGCATGTCAAAAACAATAGAAAAAGAAATTCTAGCACATGGAATTTGCTGTTATATTTGTGTGTTCTTTGGTGGTATTAAATAGCTTTTTACCTTTAATTTGTGCCAAAAATTTGTAGACATGATCTCCAGTGTCTGCATGGAAATTTGGGGTTGGAAATACTGTTACTTAGATAATACAATCTCAGTCTAAGAAACTTAGTCTGAATTTATGATGAAATAATTGAGGTTTTATTACGAAATGTGTTTCCTTCCTGGAAACATTTCCATTTCCCAACCTGAACAATGACATCAGAGAGTAAGGTATTTGGAAACTATTTCTGGAACTATCAGGAGATTTAAAAAGTCAAGCAGCAGTATGGATACTTTGCAAAAGATGGACCACTTTGAGCAAACCCCAGTTTAGCACACTAAAAGCTATGCATACACAGTATGGTATAATTTCTTTCAAGAAGAGTAGGTTTTAGTATGCTTTTGAAAGAAAAAAACTTGCATTTGCCTTTCAGCTTCAAGCCTATTTTTCCATGTCCCTTAAAGAATAAAAAAATAGGGATGAACAATTGTGATGAACAGTAATTCATAATCTTTTTCTTTACCTTACCCTAAGTATGCCTCTTACTAACATGAATGCCTCCTTTTTTGCCAACCTAGCCATAAAATTAATGAATGACACCTTACTCTATTTTTTGTATTTTGTGTTTGCACTGTGTATTATTTCAACAAAAGCTGATTATAGAAAAGGGAGAGAAAATCACTTTCTTTTCAGATAAACTATTGGTTTAGAGGAAATAAAGCCTTATGTTGAAAGTATGTTTGGATAATACCCTTTTGGCTAAGAAAAGTGCCTATTACTAAAAAATCTCACAAGACAGAAAATGCACTTAATTTAGCTTGGACAGTTGAACTAAGCCTTTCAGTTTCATATTTGTGCTTTATTCACTGCAGCATGGCTGCACATGCTTTCTAAAGGGAATGCTGTGAAGGGATTAATTTTTTTTTTTCTCTGGGTGAAAACATTTTTCTTTCTTACGTAACACAAATGGAGTGTACAGTTGTCAAGTCTCACTTTTTTCTGCAGCCTTCTGTCCCCTGGTAACAGAAGCTTAAAAATTGACTTTTTTTTTTTTAAGTATAAGATACATACAAAGTATTTCTAAGAAGATGTCCCTTTCTTTTATCTGAAATTTCAGACGTGGGACACAGAACTGGAAAGATCTGCAGAGTCATGGGCTGAAACCTGTCTATGGGAGCATGGGCCTGCGAGCCTTCTTCCATCAATTGGACAGAATTTGGGGGCACACTGGGGAAGGTACTGTTTTGTACTATATGTGGTCCGTTTTTTTTTTTTTTAATCTAACAAAATTTGCTTAAAAGAAGAATGATAGAAGCTAAACTTGTGAATGATCTAATAGACTACTACTGTCTTTCATAGGTACAGACCTCCAACATTTCATGTCCAAGCATGGTATGATGAAGTGAGAGATTTCACATATCCCCATCCTCATGAATGCAACCCATATTGTCCTTACAGATGCTCTGGTCCTGTTTGTACACATTACACACAGGTATGTAGGTGGGTTTGTTTTTTGTCAGCTATGGGAACGTGATCAAGACCTCCAGTTAGGTTGCTGTATGACATATAGAACATATTAATCTTGCAGTATACATCATAGCACTAAAACACAGAAGGGGCTTGTTGTTATTAGACTCCATAGTTATAAGCATTGGGTATTGGTGACATAGAGTAGGGTTGTCACACAGATCTTTAGATTTCATCCTCATAAATAGCACTTCCCTAACAGGATTAAGGAAGAATCTCACAAACCGCAGTGCTAAACTGTTACTGCTTAGTGCACTTTGCGTAACCTATTCTCTGTGCTGGTATGCTGTGAGTCCTTTCTATCAGATGCTGAAGAAAAGCATTTTTTTTCTAAGAAAAGGTTTTCTCAGGTGGATTCCTCAGATCAAAAAAACAGTTTTTAACATGTTGCTTTAACTTCAGCAAGATTTTGAAATTGTGTAAGAACTAATTTATTTGGCATTTCTGAAATCTGTGTATCTAGCCTGGATTTTTTGCAGAGGGGAACCAATCATGGTTTTGGTGAATCAGATTATACTAAAATCCTCACGTAATTTTCAATATAACATTAGAAAACTTCAAAATGATTAATTTTTAAACATCTATTTTCTGTTTACTGACACAATTTACAATTTTATCTAATTTTAAGACAGAATTACCTCCATATTCTTACTTACTGTTTCTGTAAAAACACACTTATCCATTACATGTGAGATCTACAATGCATATATATTTTTCTTTATGGTGCTAATTCTTCACTGTACTTACCTCTTTCAACTACTAAATTCTGCTGGAACTGCATAGTTGGCTTATCTTGAATTAATACAAGTTTAGCACCTGTCATATTTGTCTAGTTTGACGTTCCAGCCTTTGTTTCTCAGATTATTTTGAGATCTGCAATGAAAATTGTTTCAACAGATGAGTAAAGGAGCACACCCACCTTAGACTGCAGTGACAATAAAGCACATTTGTTTAAAATCCATGACCTGAGTCTTTCTGGTGTATGAGTTTTTTCTGTGAATAGTTTTATCATTTATGTTTCTTCCTTTCACTGCTGATAAGTATCTGTTCTCTCAGTCTAACCAATCTAAACCCCTCTGCATCCTTAGGTTGTGCTGAGAACTCCAAGGCACAAGAACCTAACTTCTAACTCACGATTATCTATTCATTGTAACTCCAAGAATCAGTTCTTCATATCATATTTTGTAAATATTTTGCTACGCTTTCAAAAACATGCTAAGACCATTTATAGAAAATGAGAGCTGTATCTTTTGTATCAAATATTCTAGTAAGGATATTTCTATTTCTTACTTCTAGTAAGGATATAACCAAATGACCTGTAATTAGCTCACTTCAACCCATTTATAACAGAGAGGAATATAACATCACTTTTGTGATTTGAGTTTTATATGTTGAAGTTTGGAGACAATTTTGATTTTACATTGATCAGCTTTGGTTTTCACATGTCTTTCTCTTTCCTTTTCCATAGGTTGTTTGGGCTACAAGTAGCAGAATCGGTTGTGCAATTAATTTATGTCATAACATGAATATCTGGGGGCAGATTTGGCCAAAAGCAGTCTATCTTGTATGCAATTATTCTCCTAAGTAAGTAGGCTGACACCCAAAAATATATTGAGGGGAAAATATACTTGGTAATAACCCAAGAAATAATCCGAAAGGAAGTCAGTCTTGAGTTTACTATTTTTTGTACTGTTACAAAGTAGAGCATTGTTCCAAAGGCAGCCTTTGGCTGCACAAATACTCTTGTGATTTTCTAGAGCTTCAGATTCCTGGCTTGTGTTTTAGCATACAACATCAGAGATCTTTGTGGTAGTGTGATATTTATCTGAAAAATAAATGTATCTCCCCATTGTGACTGTAAGGAATGTGTAACATGAAGCTCATGGTTAAAATAAAATTCTATAGGATATTCCATTTAGGAGAGCCGAGCCTGTTCTCATGTAATTGAGGAATTTAGTCTTACGGTGCTATGCCAATCTTACAAGATTTTACAGCAGTTTATGTCAGTACTTCACTTTTTTCTTAATGGACTTTTCAATTACTTCCTGTGCATTTGGTATAGAATCATAGAATCACTTAGGTTGAAAAGACCTTTATGATCTTAGAATCCAACTGTATACCTGACAGTGCCAAGTCCACCACTAAACCATGTCTCCAAGCACATCTACATGTCTTTTAAATACCTCATGGTATGGTGGCTCAACTGTTTCCCTGGACAGCCTGTTCTAATGCTTGGTAACCCTTTTCAGTGAAGAAGTTTTTCCTAATATCCAGTCTAAGCCTCCCCTGGCACAACTTGAGGCCATTTTTCTCATCCTATCACTTGTTTCTTGGGAATACCGAAACAATGTTGTGGTCTAAGTGTCTGCTAGTTTTCATAATTTATTTGTCCACATATTAAATGCTGTTTAATGTTAATATGTTCACTTAATAAGGCATATTTTGCTAATTTTTTTTTTTTTTAATGTAAAGGGGTAACTGGTGGGGTCATGCTCCTTATAAACCTGGCCGCCCTTGTTCCGCATGTCCTCCTAGTTTTGGAGGAGGCTGCAGAGAAAATCTTTGTTACAGAGGTATGTACTATTTCAACAGTACAACTGTAAATTGGAAGAGAAATGTAACCTTTCTTTTGCTTTCTTTCCTCACTGTGCTTTAACATAGTGGAATAGAATATATTATGCATGTACCCAGAGACCTGGTAGCGTCCTACTTTACTATGATGAATGAGATCATGTACTTATGATATGTGAGGCCAAGCCCCATCTGAGGGGGTGAAGTGTACTGAACTCATGCTGATTTAAGTGCTGATTAAGGGCTTTAGTACACAAAGATGTAGACTGTCGCTGTGTGCTATTTGTATGCCTTTCTGTAATTATAGTGGAAGTCTATGCAGTCATTTGTTTATAGGGAAACATTATCTCTGACATAGCTATGTGCATTACTGTAAGAAAAATCAAGAACAAGATTAGAAGACATTAGTAATTAAACAAAATGTTAGCTAGGATGATTATTAATGTCTTAGAATTCTTGTAATGGTATTCATGTTTTATTTCATTGAAACACAGCATATTATGAAGCTGCTGTTTCTTTTTGTTTTACTCTGTGTACAAGTAATTTAGTAATTTTTGTTATTAACTTTTGAAAGTTCACATGGACCATAAAAGCTGTATCAGTCTACCCAAATACTATTCTTATGGTTCTTGCTTAAGTAAAAAAGTAGATGCAGTGATGGGTATTTCAAAAATACTTTCATTACGTATGAATAGAAGGGCCTCATTTTCAGGTGTATGTTTTTATGAAATTAACTTCTTCAATTACAAGTTATCTGTGAGCTTGGTAAAACCCTTCCAATGTATAATAGAAATACCATATTTGTTCTGTTTGTTTTATGATCGCATAAAGATGCTAAAACAGGAGCATTAAGAGCATTTGCATACCTCAGTTGTGCTGCCCGTGCTAGAAAAAGTCTACCTTTTGTCAACATCAGAAACATACTTAAGATGTATTATTAATCTTGAGGTCTTTGTCTGACAAAGCAATGGAATATTTGCCTTACTTTCTTGCTTGTATTCATCCACCATTTTATGAGAACAAAGCCATGTTACGGAAACATGGTAAGGGATTTATATTCCACAAACACTGATTTTTTTCCTGAGAGATGTGGTTGGTTTTTTTACCCATTTTCTGAAACAGAGGATTCAGAAAGGCCTTATTCTCCCCACGAACCAGAAGAGGAAACCAATGAGATTGAACGGCAGAGATCCAAAGCCCAGGATGCAACAGCGCAAAGCCGGCCAAGAACTCACTCACCCTCAGGCTCCACAGGCGCTGATGACAGTGAGAAAAATGAAGTAATAAGCACACAGCAAATGTGTAAGGAATTTACCTGATTTGCAAGTGGTCAACAAATTTGAATTGTATAGTATCAAATTCATTGTAGTGAAATTGCTCTTTGTTTGTTTTAGCTCAGATTGTTTCATGTGAAGTAAGGCTAAGAGATCAGTGCAAAGGAACAACTTGCAATAGGTATGGTAAATTTTACAGTTTTCATTTTGAGATTATTCTAAAAGGCTATATATGTATGTGAGGTGGAATATTTTCCCTTTTTGTAATCCCAGGATTTAAGACCAAATTATATTTTGTTTTCTTAGGTATGAATGTCCTGCTGGCTGTTTGGATAGCAAAGCCAAAGTTATTGGAAGTGTACATTATGAAATGGTAAATATTTTAAATTAGCTTTTGTACTACTAGAATGGTTAATGAAATGTCTTTTCTGTTGGAATACTAGTTAAAATCATATTAGGAATGGATTTTGATGAAATCAATGTTCACCAAAAATAAAAGCCTACACCGTGTTTAAGATATCATCAGATGATCTGAGTTTTGCATCTGCTATTCTGCACATACAGTCCAAATGTACTTCATACTTCTTATACATGCACAGAAATAGAATTTTCATGTCCATGTATTTGTGTGTAAGTATGCAAAGATGTGATTTAAGGAAAAATACACTTACCCAAATAGTTTCAGTAAGGTAGGCCTACTTGTGTAAACTTAATGCCAGCTGAAAATATATCTAATTTACTCTGTAAAACTGAAAAACAGTGTAGGAAATAACAGCTACTGTGAACAGGTATATTGCAAATGAGTATAGTTTATCTCTGAGTGAGGTGTTTTCTTCGTTTGAAATAATACCTACATAGACCACATCAAACTTAATAGACTACCAAGTTTTTAATGACACATTGTAATTAAAACCTGTTTCTTTCACATTACAAAAATTAATGTGAAATAGTGGCTTTGTCTGACATGGAACTGCTTTTCCTGCTCTGTTTTTCAGCAATCCAGTATTTGTAAAGCTGCCATACATTATGGCATCCTAGACAATGAAGGTGGTTGGGTTGATGTCACTAGGCAAGGAAGGAAAAATTACTTTATCAAGTCTTATAGAAATGGCATACAGTCAATTGGGTAAGTTTTCTTAAAATTAAAATGTATGGAAAGTTTTTCACCCGTTTCTTTTTATTTCATACAACATATATCACAGTAATAACATTTTGTTCATACTTCTTATCATAAGGAATATGAAAATGCTATAAAAAGGCATGTGGATATACAGGTATTGAATCCATTCTGAAACTTTAGCCAGTCTTTAATGGAGGACAGAAAAGTGATGCAATAATGAGGTGAAAGAAGATGAAGTAATTTACAAAATCACTTGGGCAATAAATTAGTATATGTAGTTAAATAATCTCAGTATTTGGATTACTCAATTCATTTGCAAGTGTATGTGTTTATTGTAGAAAACTGGTACAAAGTAGAAAAGTAGAAAAAACAGAAAAAACATTGCATAAAAGTGGAGAACACTTGGCAGTTTCCGTATGTAATTATCCAATGACAGGACATCATCAGTATGTTTGAATCTAAAATATTACTAGTATTTGCAAATTACACTTCACTATATCTTAATGTATGCTGCAGAGTTGTCTGTATTTCTGTCTATAGTTAATATGTGTGTAACAGTTAATGTAGGAGTAATACCAAACTGAAAGAAAACAAAATTTTTCTGAGTGATACATTTGGCTCAGGTATGAACCCAAGGGTAAGGAGACAGGTAATCATTAGAGGTTGTACTCTCACTCTGTGCTGTGCCAACAAACGCCACATGCTATGACACCTGTCATCATTTCTCTTTTCAACAGATTTACCTAATGCAAGATAGAGAGAAAGAGTGACCACGTAGACTAAGTTCAATGGCCTGTAATTTGGGCTACCTGGGTAGCACTTAAGGCATTGATATCAAGCTTTTCTTTGGATCATATGATGAACTGATTGTGGTTTAAGTTATCCCCCTTAAAAATGGAGATGCAGAGAAATATCTCTTTTTTAAAATGCTTTGAGACAGAGAATTTAATCTTGATTATATCAATAATATTAGGAGTAAGCTTTCTTACAAATACAGGAGTAGTTAAACTGTAGAAAATCTTCAGAATAGAAGGAATTGCTTTCCCATCACTTGAAATCTGTGTGTTTCTGTGCCATGTGAGACAAAACTCTGTGAGTGTCCCGTCTACAGAGTGTGTTTAGCACCTATCCTCTGGGCAAGGTATTAACATTTTGTTTTGTTTGCTGTGGGCATGGATAATCATATCATTGCTGAACAGTAATGACCATTTTGGTTTTGATTTTGTGATTCAGATATTGTGTAAAAAATGTAGATGCCTTATAAGTAAAAGAATGTTAAACGACCAGATCTGTGCCTTCCTATCTGCAAGTATATTTCAGGAAACTCCTGCTGCTGTGTATGTGCACAGATGACATAATTCTTCATTAATGTCCTACAGTATTTAGGAGATCACTTTTAAAAATGAATTTACAACATACTGTGATCAGGCAACATCTTTATAAGTCAGTCTATAAATCAAAGTCTTTGGGATAAATAAAGATGATGTACCAAAGTTTCAACCTTCAAAAGTCCCATCAAAAAGACTGGGGATACCTTGCAGCTACCTTCCTCTCACCTGTAATCTCTAGATGGAGCCTTGCATAAATTACATATTTCTTCAATGAACAGATGAAATGAAGTGCATCTCACCTCTAGTGCATACTGCAAAACAGAGACACGAAAGGGAATCTCAGTGCAACACAGGGCAACCTTCCTCATCTTCAGCTCTTTGGATTTATAATCAGGATTGCTAATACAGATGTTTTTTCAACTGTTGCATTTTTGTAGTATAGGATATAATTTTTAACAATATCTCAACAAGCTAATCAACAGTAGAATACAGTTAACTATTCCTACATCAGTATTTGACAATGCTAGGTCAATAGAAATATGATCTAACTCAGTGAAAGCAAATTGAAATCCAATAAATGAGCAAATGTGAAATTGGTGGGCCATACAGCTAAATAAACCAATGCAAGTGAGCAGTTTCTGAATACAAACTGCAGTGCTGTGGAGCACACAAAAGTAATTTACTCCAAAGGTGAATAGGGAATAATTTCCTTGGGGTTTTTTTTAAAGGCATGTATAACTTTATGGGTGCCAAAAGCATCATCAATTTCTTTCTTACAGATTAAAAATACTAGAATCAGATGTGTATTCAGTGAGTTAAAAGAGGAAAATAGGAGATAAAGAGGAGTAATGTAGAAGTGTTCATCAATTGTCATGTAAACACTAGGATGTTTATACCTGACTTTTTATAACAGGAAATGGATACATCTGGGTAACTACATAGTTACTAAGAAAAACAGACTGTTACATGTTATACAGGGTTTTTAGTGATATTGGTGGTAATTTAACACAGGCACAAGATCCAAAAGTAAAATTTAATGAAATTTTTCAAAAAGGTTGCCAAGAGAAACTCTTTCCAGTGTTAGAGCTGTTTGTAGGAAGGAACCTTTAGGAATAAGTGAATGATCTCTTCTGGTAGATGGATGCTTCTGAGCAACCACAGATTTTGGTTGCTATATTTTGAGGGGAAAATAGACGGCGTAATTTGTTCCTAACACACTTATTCTTTTAACAAATTAGATTACTGAAAGAGTTTAACATGCATTCCTGGTTTTCAAACAGATTCAAACAAAAGTAAATGTGTCATTGCAATAAACAGATTCACAGCTGGGGAAAGGGGGTGCAGTGAGTAAAAATTGATTGGGGACAATGTCTCAAGCTTATTTCTAGATTCTCTAATAAAAATTCTTCTAGTTAAAAAAAAAATCACTGAGATATATTATTTACTGACTATTTCTATTATTTCTTCTTCAGAAAATACCAGTCTGCTAACTCCTTCACTGTCTCTAAAGTAGCAGGTTAGCATTTATTTCTTACAAACTCAGTACTACTTTGAATCATGTTTTTTTTCTAAATAGCACACATTTATTTGTTTCTGTTTTACTTTTTTCAGTTCAAGCTATCACCTGTGAAACAACAGTGGAACAACTGTGCCCATTTCAAAAACCAGCCTCACACTGTCCAAGGTAAAATTCTTCTGAGTTTTATTAATTTAAAGTGCTGTCATATCTTCTGTCAGTGACTAATTACATGTACTTGTCATTGATAGAGGTAACAACAGTAGCTGTAAATGTGAAGCCAGAAATGTTTTAGCGGTATTTTAGTCTTTGGTCTAAGTCAGAAGGCCAGGTAAGTAAAGATGATCTACAGGCTTTTTCATTAGGACTCTCACATTCTTTTGCCCATAAAGATCTTTTTTGGCCCCTTGGCAAATCGTAGTGAAATTGTCGTAGGTTAGACTGCAGAGAAAATTACATTTTTATTTTTTATTGTCCACATGTCTCTGCACCTTGGGCAAAATACATTTTATTTCAATTTATTTGCCTGTTAAACAGATACAATAAAAGAATATGATGCAGATGTTTATCATAGAATTTATCAACTTGTTTGAGAGTTCTGGAGGATAGAGTGAACAAGTAAGTTTGCAAAAGAATTGAAATATGTACAGTTAAGGTAAATTGTGGTCTGCAGGACAGTTAGCAGCTTTATATATATGTGCCATTTATTTGAAGTCTATGTTTTAACTCTTCGAAAGGAGCCTGTGCCACAGTATTTTGAGGAAGGAAATTGGTAACAGTTCTTAAAACCATAGATGAGTCAAAGGTAAATACACTGTAGCATGATTTACCGCAAGCTAAGCTGGAGATATCCACAGGATTACTTTCATAGCAATCCTACAGCCAATACAGGAAGCAAGTACAAAGCCAGAACTGCTAGGAAAACATCCCTTCATGTAGCACTTGGGTCTGTGGACTTGTTTGGTGTTTGGCTATGACTCCTGGCTTTCTAGCTGGAAGATGTGGAGAAGTAAGTGAAGGAGTGGAGTGCAGGAATGGATGGGTACAATCACATACTTCTATCTTTTTCTTTCTTTCTTCATTATTAAAAACTAAAACTAGCTTCATTAAGAGAAAAAGAGGGTCTGTCTTTAAGAAAATTTAAAAATAAAAATAAGGTTAAAAATTACTGATTAATTCTGGTGCATCAATACAAGGAACTTCACAACAGCAGTAATTCATTCAAGGTTTTGTGCATGCTCTTAACTTAATTCTGAAAAAGTGGTCTCAGGAGTTACAAGCAGTAATCAGCTATGGCATTGATTGCACAATCATGCCCTAATCATAAATCACCAGGTCTTCAAAAGACTTGTTTGACATCTTGCTTCCTTCGCACAAAAACCTCTTTTGGAGCTCCATCAGCCTGTTTGGATTACCCATCTGGTAAGATTGTAGCATGCCCCAGTGGTGTGACATGCCGAATATCGATTGGAGCGTGGGTAGGATACCGGAGAAGAATGCTTGCCCAGGCTGCCCCATGTAGGGTGGCTCTTAAACCATTAGAGCATGACCCATTTTTTAAATGAAACAGCTCAGAGTAGACCTAGAGCTAACACTTCTTCCTTGTAGCATCTCGCAATTACCAAATAAGATGCTTGACACCTTCTGTGCTACTGTTAGCTTCCCACATGGTTCTCCTGTGCATTTTGGAGTTACAGCAGGCATGAATCACAGGGAGAGTTTTTCTCAAATATTACAAAATGTATTTGAATAAAGATAGTCTTTATTTCAGTAGCTTTCTGATCTCGAATTAGCTAGGAATCTCATTACTTTCCAAAGTTTTTCACTTTAGCCACAGATGCCAAGCGCTCACCCTCATTATAAGTTGCTGAATTGGCTTACATCACTAGGTCATCAGCATCATAGCAGGTCCTCAGATCTGCCTCTCCTGAGAAGATACTCAACTGTACAGTTTGTATAGGATGCTGTAGAAACAGATAATAATATAAGAGTGAACAGCCTCTCTTCTCACTGGCTTTGCTACTGGCCTCACATATGTTGAACAAGAATACTCTCTGTTTATCCAAAGGGAAGAAGACCAGACCTCTTGAAATTTGTTATTATGAACCACAACTTACATCAACAATGCTTTCATCCATATTGTCAAAACTTCAAAACCTGACACTTTTAGTATCAGTATAGATACATACATATGCATCATCAAACTGATTAATAGTCAATAATGCTGATATTGAATATGATACAGTAATACTCATAGCATTCTTAACTGTATGTGGCTTATGTTTGATATTTCAGGGTGTATTGTCCACGCAACTGTATGCAGGCAAATCCACACTATGCTCGTGTAATTGGAACACGAATTTATTCTGATGTAAGTATACTGATTTATGTTGCATTATATAATGAAAAGTAAAATCCCATGAAAAGCTAAAATGTAAAGATAATAAGATATAATATAAATATCCAGTTTTCCTTTGTATGCCGATTTTTTACAGTCTTTTCAGAAGTTCTTTTTCAGAGGCTCCCATTTAAGATAGTAGTACTCAGCTGCTGAAGATACAGAATGCTATTTGAAAACTCATTGTAGGCTTCAGTAGTGTCTGGACCTGTATTTTCAACTTCTAACCAAAATTCTCACTGATTTATTCACTATTGACAGTGTATACCCATTTAAAATATTCCTCTTTAGACCCTGATGCAACCATAACTTCTATCAGATTAAACTAAACAAAAAAAAAATTCTGAAAATAAATGTCCACAGTCTCATTATTTTGGATATTTCTTATCTTTGTAGATAGGTAAATATTTGCAGCAGGATTTTGATATATTTGTGTAAAGTATCTCACATTGTCATATTATTTTAACAGTCTAATACTGGATTTTTTTGGTTGTTCTGTTTCCTAGTCAATTTTTTTATCTGTCTTTTCTACATCATGTTTAGTTCTGAAGTGGATAGAAAGAATGTAAAGAGAATCCTTTTTTATGTGTTTCCTTTGTCATCCCTCTATGGAGAAGACAGGATGTAGGGGCAAGAGAGAGAAGTTCACATTTCTGACAGTAAACTGCATGTTTTAACGGTCTTTTAGCTGTCATAAGGAATAGTATGGCAATTAGCTGGGTCAGATGACGACTTTCACTACTTTCCAGTGCTTTGAATTGTGTGACAATAATATGCAAATATTTATTTGTCATTATTTTGCAACTAACTAATATGTGTTAGATTACCTGAGTAACTTGTCCTGAAAACACTCTTGTACATAAGTATTACTTAAAGGGTGCCTACAGGAAAGGTGGGGAGGGCCTCTTTAGCACGGAGTGTAGTGACAGGATGAGGGGTAACAGTTTTAAACTGATAGAGGGTGGATTTACATTAGATATAAGGAAGAAGTTCTTCTCTGTGAGGGTGGTGAGGCACTGGAACAGGTTGCCCAGAGAGGTTATGAATGCCCCTCCCTGGCAGTGTTCCAGGCCAGGTTGGACGGGGCTTTGAGCAACCTGGTCTCGTGGAAGGTGTCCCTGCCCATGGCAGGGGGGTTGGAACAAGAGGATCTTCAAGATCCCTTCCAACCCAAACCATTCTATGATTCTAGTGTTACATGTGTAAGAAGTACTTCCAGTTCAGGAAAATAATTGATTTGTGCATGTGGAACTTGGTCCTTAATGTGTATAAGACGGGCAGTCAAAATAGATTCAGTGAAAATCCATTTTGTGGAAGACAGTTTTCTTTCAGTTCTGCGGTTGCAATCAAAAGCTACAGTCAGTTTCCCAGTTAGAATAGACTTTGTTGTACGGGAAAGAAGACCCATTTCTGTTTAACGTATGCAGGAGAACATCTCAGAATATGTATTTGCTTTGGTTAGAGAAGTCACGGCTGACTTTAATAAGTATTAGAGTTATGCTTCAAAATTATTTCCAATGTACTATCTCATTATTCATCTCCATTGTATAGAAATGTGTGAAGCCATACTTCTTTCAGGAAAAAATGGATGTATATACAGGTAAGAAACGAGGGATAGGAGTCAACTCTACCAACTTCAGATTCTGTCAGAGTAGATATCTACACTGAAGGTGCTATTCTAGGTTATGTTTATAGTATTCGTAGTACATACAGTACAGTGGTAAAGGAGATAAATAGGCATCTACAGAGCAGAATTTGTTTGACCTTTTCAGAGTGTTTACTTCAGTATGAGATGAATTGCCTAACAGAGTTGTCTATTCCTCTCCATTTCCTACAGTATGGTCTTAGAACATCTAGCTCCGATGTAGACAGATGTGTCCTACCCACATTTGTACAGATGTTATAATCAATGGCATTAGCAATCTGTGATTTTCAACAATGTTCCTTTGTTGCTAACTTTTAAATTATTTTAAAACTAAGATACTTTTTATTGAGATTTTCATTAAATAATCTGGTTGGGGATTTTGTGCATAATAATATATTACTGAACTAATTTCAGATGAAGTATTTATAGAGAATAATCTATTTAATAAGTGTGTTCTCTTTTGCAGTTTTTCATGTATTCACAAACAGATTTGTTCATAGACACAGAGAATTAATTTGCCCACTTGTCATAGCAAAAGTATTTGAAATTGCAGTTCATGATCTATTTAGTTGATTTCACAAAACAGATTTTTGTGACATTTCCTGCAAATTGTTTTGTTTCAAAAATGTGTATATATATATGTGGATGAATGCATATATGCACGTGGCTATTTATCTGCACTGCTTCTTAGGCCACTTGCATTCAGAAGAAGATTTTGCAGAGATACTAAGAAAAAAAGCAAATAACATTAATAGATGTAACAGAGATATGTTTACTAAACCATTTTTGTAGTATACATGAGAATCTAGTTAAACCTTGCCTTTCCTGGCTTTGGTCTGATCAGATATTCATTCTTAAACTAATTTTATATTTTACGGTGACTTCTTATCCTCCCTGTCCTGAGAAGGGTTGTTCTCTGGTATATCAATGGTGCCTCACAGAATTTTTACTCTTTTTACCTCCCATTTTTTTTTTCCTTTGACATTGCAATAGTTGTCCGTAACTCAATTGAAACAACCCTCCCCTTTACTTTATCCTCCTTTCTTCCAGCTATTTTCTTGTCTGTGGCAGATATATGATAGGCATGGTTCATGTAGTCAGCATCTATAAACTTATGTTTGTGGGGAATTTTCATGTAATACCCATCCCTCTGTGCTCTATACCTTCTATTTTTCAGTCGATCTTCTTTTGTTTCACTTGTCTTGAGGTAGATTGCAAGCTTTTTAGAACAAAAGTACCTCTTATTCTGAGTTTACGTTACAATTAGTTTCTTTTCTGAATAGAGCTATTATGGTATGAACATATGTGTCATTCTCAGCAGACAGAAACACAAATTACTCATTCTTTATATGGCCCAAACATATCGCCACCTTAGTGCTTTGTGTCCCTGCTGGACTCGTAGCTAAGAGTTCCCACATGGCAATGCTTTGTTTTGTTGTGAAACCAGGAAAAATGAGAGTTTCCTCCTGTCTTGTGCTGAAGAGGTGGCTCCACCTTTCAACTTTGGTTAATTCATTTTCTCTAAAGCTTTTTGAGTCTTGTTTCTGTAATTTCAGAATTGTGTCATGTTGACAAGTATTTTATCAATATCTGTGCTTTTAAAGCACTTTTCAATATGACAATTTGTGAAATAAAATAAAAACCTTCTCAAGAACTGAATCATGTCAGGCCTAATGTGATTGCCTGAACTCTGTTTGTGATAATTTTGCAGCACCTGCTTGTATAGAGATTATCCTGTGTTGTTGCTGTTAGTCCCTGGATTGTCAAGGTACCAAAATACCAAACATTTTCATAGAGAGAAGGAGAGCCTACAATAGTTCAGTTGCAAAATCTTTCACTTGCAGATTTTTTGGTAAAATTACATTTTAATGGACATGCCTTAGATGTGTATATGGTAGAAGTTCTTAACCACATTCCATTTGCCTTGTAAGAATTTCTAAAGAGATTAAGGTTTATATTTACCCTGCTGTTTTCACAGTAGACAACATTTTCTCAAAGATGGTCTCTTACCAGTAGTGACTCTACATTATGGGTGTTGATTGAGCAATTCTACAAAAAACAATGAACTTCCTTTTGAGTCCTAGAGAACAAAGGTCTTTTATCTAAAGAATTTGATGGACCTGTATAATTTCATACCATCTGAGGACTTTGGCCATATTAATTTTTGTCTCACTAACCATACATGGAAATATTTTCCTTAATACTTGTGCAAAAGTATTCATAAGTCTCTGCTATGGTAAAATATAAACAAGATGTAAAAAAGATATTAAATAGATCTATAGTCCAGTGATGGTGAGGGAGAGATGCTTGTGGTTAAAATGCCTCTGCAGAGTACTGCTATGCTGTGGTAGATATTTGGTATTTTGCTGAGTAGCTGGAGAAGGAAACTAATTAAGCAGCTTAGTATTCAGATTCTATGACCTGTTAAATACTAACGAATTTCAGTGGGTTCACAGCACAGCAATAAAGCAGGGTCATATAATGCTGTATGAAATGTTTATGTTAACTTAAAATTACCACCTTATATATCCTTTGGAGTGAGTTCATCAAAGTTGTAGACCCAGATCGATGATGAAGACTTCCAGAAAGTGGCATCAGGCTGTTAATTTAAAATACCAATAATATGCTGAAATTCTTGACATACCTAAATGTGGAATCCTGTTCTGCTTAAATTAACAGGAGGTTCACCTTAACAGTTCAATGAAGTGTGATCAGTATGACATAATATTATTAAGGAATTGTATTAGTATAATTGTAATAGTATTAAGGAATTATATTTTTGTAGGAAATATTATGGCATCAGTACTGGAATCTGATTCCATTTAGATGAAGATTCCCAAGCCAATGAGAAGTTCTTGAAGGCTCAAAGCAGATAATACTTTCTCAAAAACATCATATTCTGTAGATATTCTTAAAACTATATGCATTTATTAATTTCTGTTCTTACAAGTTAGTTCATAATTATGAATTTGTACTCATGTAATTGTTCATATATTCAAATACTATGCACATTTGTTCTCCAGTCTCATCTGAAAAGCAGCAACAGAATATCAATTTAATTTTTATCTGAAAATTGCCCATGGATTGACTTTATCAATTCCATTCTTCTGACCCCTTCTTTTTCATATATCCCATATAAGCATCTTGCCTTTAGCTTTAAAATGTTGTGAATTAGCCTAGTCATACATCACTGATCCAGTAGCCAGTTCTGGTACCACACCTAACAATGACCCCATCCTTTACTGGACATAGTTTCCAAAAGTCATCATCCTCTTCTGTAAAAATCTCCATCCCTTGACTTTCATTTTTTTCTTGACTAGAAACTTTCAAATAACATTGGAACAGCCAGTATCTTAGCTACCTTCAAATGTAATTATGAGAGTATCAACCTATTTAATGATGTACACAAAGTGTAGCCTTTTAGTTACTATTACAGATGTGGCAAACTTTGATCTTTATTTTCTCTGATTGTACCTCTAGCTTTATTTATATTTCCAATGTGAACAGAAAACCAAGTTGCTACTATATTACTAGTAATTAATAATTTTCTTCTAGTTCTTCACTGTAGTTAATTGCTTGTAAACCTAATCCTGTACTGAAGAGGCCATTTTCCCCCCCTATATCTGAAATTGCACATGATCAGTCTGATCGTTAGTTGCTCTCCTAGTATGAAAACATAAAAGATGATATAATCCCCAAAATAAGGCAACTACTGGTGTCCAGAATATAACAACAGTTTTGCAGCCTTGGGAGGAGGAGAAAAAGTACAGAAGAGGATAAATGGCATCTCTTCTGGCATGTTCAAAAACTGCAGCCAGCACTGTGAAGAGAAAAACTCAAGTGTCTTTGCAAAAGATTCTTTGCATAAACAATTTCAAATCTTTACTCCTAGAAAAATTGTAACATTAAAAGACAGACTATGTAACGGTGAAATTGGCAAGTTCTGTGCTTGGAATGAGAGTAGGAAAATAATTGCTATTTTAAATTCCTGATTTTATATAGCATTGAAATTACAAAATAGCTATGGTAACAGATATAAATTCTTTCAATTATAACTGGAAGAAATGCATTTCTTGTTTAAATAGTGGCCTGTGTGACCAGCTATTGATATTGACTAAGATTTTAAGGCTGGTTGTGAAGATACGTATTGCAGTGAAGACTTCTCTACAAAACAACTTGGCTTTAAGTGGAGATTTGCTGTAGCTGGAACTACACTTTGCTGTGCATTGAAGATTGGGACCTATATTCTGGAGTATCTAAGGAGTTCCATTCTTCTGGTGATTAATATTAAAATGCTAAAAGAGTAGTAGAGGACTGCAAATTTAAATCAGTTATTTAAATGAACATAATCAAGATTGTCACTGAGCAATCCTTCTGTGGATATTATTTATACTACATAGGTTCATGAAAGGAATTAGTGGCTGGAGAATGTAGGTTTTACTCAGTTGAAACTGCTGTTAACTTCACAGAAAACTTTAGTAGCATTATAAGATTATATAATACTAGGTTGGAAGGGATCTCAGGGATCATCATGTCCAACCTTTCTTAGCAAAAGCACAGTCCAGACAAGATAGCCCAGCACCTTATCCAGCTGAGTCTTAAATATATCCAATGTTTGGGAATCTGCCACTTCCCTGGGGAGATTATTCAAATGCATGATTGTTCTCATTGTGAAAAATTTTCCTCATGTCCAGTCAGGATCTCCTGAGCAAGTTGTACCTATTACCACTCATCTTTTCCATATGACTTAAAAAAAGGGAGTCTCTGTCTTCATTGTAGCCACCTTTTAAATACTGGAACATGGTGATAAAGTCTTCCCTAAGCCTTCTTTTCTCAAGGCTGAACAAACCCATCTCTCTCAGCCTTTCCTCATATGTCAGTCAGGCTTCTCAGTCCTTTGATCATCTCTGTGGCCCTTCTCTGGACCCACTCCAGCCTGGCTACATATTTTTTGTGTAGTGGGGACCAAAACTGAACACAGTATTCCAGGTGTGGCCTGACAAGCGATGAGCAGAGTTGGATAATGACTTCTTTATCTCTTCTGGTGATGCCCTTGTTGATGCAGCCCAGCATTCTCTTGGCTTTCTTTTCTGCTGCTGCACACTGTTCACTTCATGTTGAACTTGTCCATCAAGACCCACAGGTTCATTTTCATAGAGCTGCTCCCCAGCTGGGTAGATCCCAACCTGTGCTGCACTCCTAGATTATGTTTTCCCAGGTACAAGATCTTGTATTTGTCCTTGTTGAACTTCATAATGTTCTTGTTAGCCCACTCTTCCAGCCTATCCAGGTGGCTGCAGGGTGTCTCTCCCTTCCAAAGTGTCCACTTCCCCACTCAGTTGGTATCATTGGCAAACTTCATCAGGATACACTTTGATCCCATCATCCAGATCATGAAGATATTAAACAGCATTGGGCCCACTGTCAATCCCTGGGGCACCCCACTTGTGACAGAATCTATTTCCCACCACCCTCTGGGTGCAGCCTGTCAGCCAGTTCCCCACCCACCACACAGACCTCTTGTCTAGACAGTAACGTATCAGTTTCTCTAGGAGGAGGCTGTGGGGAACCCTATCGAAAGCCTTTGAGAAATCCAGGTAGACAATGGCCACTGCTTGCTCCACATCAACTGAGCAGGTTACTTTGTTGTAGGAGGTGATCAGGTTTGTTAAGCACAGTTTGCCCTTGATGAATCAGTGCTGGCTTTTCCCTATCAGGTGTTTCATTTGACTTGTGATAGCCCCCAGGAGGATTCATTCCATAACTTTCCCAGGGACTGAAGCAAGAGTGATGGGCCTATAATTTCTGGGATCCTCCTTTAAGCCCTTCTTGTAGATGGGGTTGACACTGGCCTTCTTCCAGTTTTCTGGGATGTTCCCCTGTCTTCATGACTTCACAAAATTAGGGATAGTCGTCTTGCAACAATGTCAGTCAGCTCTCTTAAAACCCTGAGGTGTATAACATCAGGGCCCATCGATTTGTAGGAGTCGAACTCCTATAAGAGTTCACATACCAACTCTGCCTTCACTGGCGGTGGGTTTCTGTTTGCATCGACCTGGATTGTTGTTCCCAAGGCCTGGGGCCCACAGTGCTGCATAATTTTGCCTGAATAGTCTATGGAATTAGACACTGATTTAAAAATTATTCTTTAGTAGCAATTGGAGTCTTCACCTCCTGACTCTATTTCCTCAATCATATTTGAGGAACTAAAGCCATTAGTCTGCCATTAATTGACTGCCATAGCTAAGGAATGATTTTAGATCTCTATATGTTTGATGCTCACATTAGACCTCTAATCTAATTAGCTTTTAGTATTTGTCCATGCCTGGATAGGAGATTGTAAGGTTCCCTTTGAATATGTATCACTTCTCTGCTGTTTGAGGTTTTGCACTTGGAGATAGAATTATTGCAGTCTATCCCTCACCTTTCAGGTAGGACATCCTCCTAGAAACATATGACTCCAGCGTGTCATTGCTGTTGTACTGTTCCCCTGTTTGGCTCTAGCTGGGGTTTAAACCGAATTTCCTGGTCTATAATAACTGACTAAAGTTTGGGTTTTACTACCTCTGTACTCTTGAAGTGAAGGCTGATTTGAGCCTTTCAAAATGAAAGGCTCAAGAATTCAAACATGTTCCTGATCTTTGATCTGAAATAGCCTGAAATAAATGATTTTGGGGGTTATGCTGCAGGAGGTCTTTGAAGAAGCAGTTTCTATATTCCTATAAACTGCCTAATTCCTGTAAAATTGGTTAAATACTTTAAGATTCATAAAATTAATTATGAATTAAATATAATTATTTTATGTTTCCTATAACTTGTTCTAAATGTCTGTATTATTTTTCTTCTAAACAATTTTGAAATAAAAGGATGAATGAAAACTAATCTTTTCCTCATTTTTTTCTTAGATGTCCAGTATCTGCCGGGCAGCAGTACATGCTGGTGTAGTCCGCAATCAGGGTGGTTATGTTGATGTTATGCCAGTAGACAAAAGAAAGGTTTATGTTGCTTCCTTTCAAAATGGAATATATTCAGAAAGGTACGGAGCCCAGTTTCAAAGATTACACTTTACCCTTCACCTCGATAAGATTTACAAAGTCTTGCATTGTGTCTGTTTGTACCTAGGGCAGTGCTAGAAACCAAATAAGCCAACATGGGTGATTTACAGAGCTTGTGTAACAGCTGTGGTGACTTTGGAGAAGCTGTGGTACCAGTGCTGCCTGCCTCCTCTAAGCTTATAAATCATTACTCTAAAAAGCTGCTTATGAAATAAAATAACCCTCTTGTTTACTTTGCTGGTTCTGTTGCACACAATATTTGATAAGAAAATTGCCTTTTCTTTCTTTGGGATTTTTTTAAAACTAACATTATTGATTTATTCAGTCCAGGTTAGAAGATCTGCAATAGATGTGTACTAATAGCTGATAACAGTATCACTGTTCGTGATGAAATGTTCATTACTAATTTACATCGTGTAGAACCAGTGAGCCTGGATTATAAATAATATTCACAAACATTAAAATTCACAATCATTAAAATATATTTTTAAATTTCTTTTTTTTTAATGGTTTGACTGTTTTTAACAGTGTTTTTCTGAAAGACATGGAGATGCTGTGAAAGTTCCTTTATTTGTATTCAGTGTATTCATGTGTTTTATGATGATAACGCATGGCTGCATGTTGAAGATTAAATTTAATCCCTGAAAGAGTTCTCGAGGTTCTAAAGGAAGAAAGAGAAATTACCTAAAAGAAATCTTGTACCAGTCTTCTAGTCCTGTAAAGCTAAGAATGATTTCTACCTTTAAAAGTATAGGTTTTCCATGAAATTTATGGAGGTAAAAACTTCCAAAAGTTTCTGTAGAGAACTTGGAAGTAGGAAAATATAGAGTATTTCTTTCTCATTTTTAATTGGAAAGATCTCTTGTCTCTTCCTCAAACCCTGCAACAAACCTGGAAACTTGTAAAATACAGATTTCCTTTGCTCAGTGGTTGATTGACTTAATTGACATATTCTTTGGCCTCTCCCCATGACCATCCAGTTCCTTCAGAAAGAGTGCTTCCTTACTGACACTTTTGTTCTCCATATAAATCTCTTCAATGAGTAGCGATACAGCCAGGAGAAGTGTTGCAAATTTAATCATTGTTTGTACTTTACTGTCTTGGTAAAGTTTGGAAGGTCAGTGGTTTGGAAAATGGTCCCATGCAAGTTTTCTGTGAAGCAGAAGATAATGGATTGTAATGCCATTGCAGGCAACCTGTTTTATTGTGCTATTCCTTACTTTCACCTCCATTTACCTTTCCTTCCCAGATATGCCTCAGATAGGGTTTGAAAGAGAGAAAACAATGTCACCGTTAAATACGACATGCTAGTTCATTTTATAAGACAGAAATTTCTTTCTGAAGTTCAAGTTTTTTCAAGTTCTTTCTGAATACAGTTAGAATAGTGAGCGTAAGATGCATGCTTGCTCTTTTTCCTAAAAACATTTTATAATATTTTGCTTCCATAGAGCTTTATTCTTTAAACCAGAATCCCTCATCACAAAGGATTAATTTATTTTTTTTATGTTATGATTTGTTCCTAATAAGCTGTTTGGAATAAAAATTGATCTGAAATTTATGTTATTTTTTTTGTGACATTTAAAAAAAATGTAATAGCTAAAGTTATGAGTAGTCACAAGAGAAGTGGCAGGGTCCTAGATCTATATTTAACAATTAAAAAAAGTCATTGGAGTGTTGCCATCTTTAAAATAACATCAGGAATGTTTTTATGTTTCAGTTTACAGAATCCTCCAGGAAGCAAGGCATTCAGAGTATTTGCTGTTGTTTGAGCCTAGCAAGGAAAATCTAAAACAGGCAAGTGAAACCAGAGCACTTGGAAGAGTGTGATAAAGACCATTTCTTATGATTCCTAAAATTTGTATAAAGCTGTAACATTATTGTACAGAAGATGTATACTGCTTTCCACCAAAAAGTTTAAATTACATATATATATCTTAATGAAAAAATCTGTAAAAGTAAACATGGGAGAAAAATTAATTTGAAAATCTATAATGATATATAACAATACGTTGAATCCTGTGTTAAATATTGCTATATTTTCTTAGCAGTTACTCCTATACAGTTAATTCAAAGCTCATAAATGTTCTTTGTTTTCTTCATCTGAATATATTATTGTATGGTGCTTTATGTATGCCACTAACATTAACCTTAAAACTATGCCATAGGGAGGCCTGAGTTTTTATTTCCAATGTACATAAATGAAGCCATTCCAATAATGCAATATAATAAATCATGCCTTAAAGTAAAATAAATATATATATATAACTTTTTGATGATTTACAATAGCATTAGCAGTGCAAGCATAAATTAAGAGCTAGACTGTTTTCAATTTCACACTAATCACAACAAATACAAATACCTATTTTGAAAGAAAATGGAAAATATAAAATACAGAGAAGTCCTGGGTCATATTAGTATGTTTTCCTCTAAGGAAGTGTTTTTAAGACACTGGGCCATTCATGTTTATTATTTCTTAAATATTTTAATAAAATGTTTATTGGATGCTGCTAAGCTCTTTAGTTCAAATAACCAATTCTTCATAGCCCAGTCCTTCACAGATATTCAGGTATCTTGGGATGGGTGAGAGATAGACTTATATAACCCTGAAGGATATGAGAAAATTTTAATACTGAGAAGTGGCATAACCTGAAATTAAGGAATAAGCCATCAGTTCTGCAATGCAGTTCTTCACATATACATGCTTTATTTTAGTCATGTGACTCCTTCAATTTACCTAAATCGGGTTTCAGCAAAAACGTAGAATTATACACATACATAAAAATTTGCAAGCTTGAGGCCTTAAACTGTACATGGTATCCATATACTATACATTAATATGAGGGTAAATGTTCAAACAAACCTTTAAGAAAATGGTAACAAAGGCTAACCTTGCTCCTCATGACCTGGCAAATACTCCTGCAGGCCAGGAAGTATAGTGGTACGGAGCCCAGTGACAATTGTATCATTTGCTGTGTCACGATTTAAAAAAATTCATTTATGTTGAACAGCCTTGTGCATTAATTTTACCATATTATGGTATATGAAGAACATGTAGTGGTGATACTATGTTTCTTTCTATGAAAAGTGTATTGGTGCTTTAAAACAGAAAAGCTGTTAAACTTTATTTTTGGTATGTTTTGTTTCTGTTGTTGAATTTATTTCCTTCCAACTTGTGAACTTACTCATATTCTTCATATTTCAGAATACTATATTCCGCCTCCTGTTTTGCTACATGTACTACCTCATGTAGTTAGGCAAGCTTTGTTAGTTTTTTTTAATCTGTTTTGAATAAAATTAATTTACATAGTAAAAGTACCTCTGACAGCCTTCATTTTTTGATTTGTTTGTCCTGCCTCAACAAGAAAAAAATGTCACTCAAAATTTACTTGTTTTTTCTGACCTAAACATTGCAAAAGTAGCACCAAGCAGAAAACATAGCCTGAGGTTCTGAAAGCTGTAAAGGCAGTTTAGGCACACAACTTCCATTAATTGTATTTATAATAATAAATTGATAAATCTGGTCATTTTTTCAAGTTTTGACCAGGGTCTTTGGGAACAGATTGCTATCTCATTCTAATGGGGTACTCCGTGTCAGGAAGTGATTATAAAAAAGCCACCAGCTTTTATTCAGTCTAACTCCTTGCTGTTGTGTTATATGTTACTAGTGTGAATGTTCCTAGCTACATTTGTTGGGAACAAGCACGTTTTTATATTACACATTCTTTTTTTTTTCCTCATAAAACTAATGGTACACTTGGAAGTTCCATTTGAGAAATCTGTTTAATTGATGAGGGAGACAAAGAGTCTTTGCTATATAATCCCTTTTTTTGCAGGTGGTAGCAGGGGGGTGTTTAAACAAGCTTTATATAGATTTTGCAATAATGACATTATCCATTTTTCAGAATTGGAACTAAATTGCAAGTAGACTTTGACTGTGATAGGACTCCAAGTCACTCAGAGGCTTGAGATAGACTTGCACAACCGTTCCTTAAAATCACTAAAGCAGTAACAGAGAAAGGCCTTGCAATACCTACAGTTGGGGTTATCAGAACATAAAATTAAGTAAGGCCACTTCTGAAATCAAGGACATGTAGAACTGCTGAGGGAGACATCTGGAAAAAAAAAAAAAAAAAAAAGGAATGCAACAGTAGCTTCCCTTTCCACACAGGCCGGATGCTTTCTTGCAGCCTGGCCTTACCATCATCCAGCAGCTCTCCATGTCCCCTGTCTGGTCCATGGTCCCCAGCCAATTCCTCAGGAGCCCATGGGAAGCCCGTTGGGTGCTGCAGAGTCTGAGCAGTGAGCGAGCTCCCCTCTCTGCTGACCAGGCAGTAGGGTGAGCCCCTTTCTTCGGGCAGTGCAGAGCCTGGGGTGAGGGAAAGAACAAGACAGTTACAACTTCAGTCATAACCACAACTTCTTCAGTTTGGGTAGACAGGTGATTGGAGTTCCATGTGGAAACACAGTTGCCACATCAAATTTCTGACTTTTTCCTCCATTTGTTCCTGATGTCTTTTTTGTTCTTCTGCACATCTTTGCTTCCCCTCTGTTCTTCTGCATATCATTGCTTCCTCTCCTCTCTCATCTGTAAAGTCCATCTTACATTTGCTGGGAGTTCCTGTGCAAGGGGGCAGAGGTGGACCCTTGCTGCCATACAACAAAGATAGTTCTTGGTGGGAGAAGCGGAGGCTACCTCCAGCGTGTGTGAATGGTTGCTGTGAGCATCTCTACTAACCACCACAGTGACAAGAAGAAAGGGACATGAGAAAGGGACATTTCTCCACCACATCTTCTGTTGCACAATGTTAGAGTCCTGTCACTTTTCCACATGCAATGATTCTATCCTGCTATAATATAAATGTTCCAGTAAACATGGGCTTTTTGAGAAATTCTGCTCTGTACTTACTGTAATACGTCAATGAGTCAACATTTCCAAGCAGTTGTAGAATGGGAGCTACACATTGGTATTTTTGTCTGCACCAGAAGCAACTGTTTGCCAGATGGTCACAACTATTTCACAGAAAGCCCAAATGAATAACTGGCAGTATCAGAAAACTTGTTGTAGCTTAATGAAAAAATATAGAAGGAAGTCAATTTTTAAATGCTGATGAATTTAACCAAGCAGTTAGAAAATTATTTTCTCAACTTGAAATAAAAAAGGATAATCAATAAGAAAATCAAGCTGAATTCATGCTATTCATATTATTTAGTTTGCCTCCCAGGAAAGACCTGTAAGTAGCCAAGAAGAATTATTATAGCTGATACCTAACAATCCTCTGCCAAAAAAAAAAAAAAAAGTTTCAGTACATTGGTATTTGCTGTTTATAATTTTGAAAGAACTAAAATATCAAGAAATGTAAACCCTCTAAATACAGTAGGCCCTAAAAGCATATGTGAAGCAGAGAAGAGTAATATGAACCTTTTCCCATGATCCTGTAGTATTTCCCATTACAACTTGCTTCATGAGGAATATTTTCAAAAGAAGCATAGGAATCATTTGGAGAGGAGTCAAGTAATTGTCAAGCATAGTTCATTTGCCTGGTAAGCTTTTCAGTAAGGATCAATTGAGGCATTTCTTTGCTGTGCTGCCTCCTTTACAGCTGGATTAGCTAATTTCATAACTAAACAAGAGTTAGTATGAAACAAAGTGGTCAGACTTAAACAGATAACTCTTCAACAGCCTCTCACCATTTTGATAGCTATATGAGGATACTTTAGTTTTAGGGAACTTGGGACCCATATTCATGTCACTCATGACACCCTTATCACTGGACATAAACTAAGGAAAGTAAGAAACATTTCCTAAACTTTGTGAATACTGAGAAATTTTAGAGAGTTTACAGACTTCCATGTGTCTGGTTTCTTTTGATCTAGAAATTACATAGAGAGTATTTTTGGAACCAAGCCTGAAACACAGGTTGGGATAATGTGTAAATGTACAGGTTTTTAATTGATGAAATACTCAGTTTCAAGTTTTATGGAAATGTCAGACTGTCAGCTTGTGGCGGATGAAAGTATTGACACAGTAATGATTTAGGAAAATAATCTAGATTTATTAATAATTAACAACTATTTGTTAATACAAAATAACTCAGAAAAGCTACTTATTCAGGTTCTAAAATAACAATATTCACTCTGGCTTACTGACAGTACCTTAATTTATACACATATGTACATGTGCATACACAAACCAGACATATACATACAGAAACAAAGGGGTTTGGATTCGGTAAAATGAACACAAAAGGGAGAAGCACACAGGAACAAGGGCAAGGGTACGTACCCACACACACACACACACCAATAAACAGGTGAAATAGAAGCTAGCTCAAAGAAAATTTCCCTCTTGAGTTTAGAGCAAATACTCACAATGCCTTGGCATTCCTCAACGGGCAATAATTGAGACTCGAGCGGGTGGACTTCACCCTGGCCTTCCGTCTGGAGCAGACGACACCTGAGAGGCGTCCCAGCTCGGGGAGATGCTGGTCACAGGCCCGCTGCAATCCAGGAGAGCTCAAAGGGTCTCTCTGGTGGTTGCAGTTTATAGGGTCCAAGATAATCGACTTGTCAAATCCTATCTGGTGCCTTCCGGCAGTTGCACAAGAATTTGAATAACATGCAACCCTGTTATTGTTCCATCTGATCACATCCCAGGCACAGGTGTGTCAGGCCATCAGGAGATGATGGGCCATTATAACCCTTTCCAAGCAATTGAGGGGGGCAGGAGCCAGCCAGGCTCCTCAAGATTATCAGTCCTTATCTCCACAGATTGGTGTATGGCTTGGGGGAATGTGGATGGAATCACACCTGGCACCAAGCAGCCCAACAAGGAGGGCAGGGAGGGGTAAGAATTGCACCACCACACAGCTGTCCATGGATTCTCAGAAGGTTTAAAAGAAGAAACATCAGCTTCTTCCTGTGTATTGATACATATGGCCAGGAAAATGCATGGTGCTTTACTTCATGTGGCAGAGATGTAACAAAGTTACTCATATAAACAGTGTCTTCTGTGTGGCAATTGCTTTTGAAGTGTTTTGAGTTTGGTTTCAAACTCAGATAACCCAGCTTCCTGTGAATGCACAAGGGAAAGTTTATTTCCTGAAATTTCTATAGTCATACAAAGGGTCAAATTTAGAAATGTAAATATTTGGGAGTTATAAAAATTATTCATATGGTGCAATATTCTGTTTGGAAATGTATATAAATATTGTATGAAATACTGTACTGTCACGCTTCTGTCTTAAGGCTTTTTATAGCATTTGTGGAACTCTAGGGAATTATACAAGGAATGAAAAGCCTGAAGAGTTTTGTTTCATTCAGTGTATAATCTGCATTTTACAGAGCTTTATATACAAATGATAGCATACTTCAGTATTCAGAAAATTGCATATGATTTTATAAAGACATACACCAGTGCATATGGGAAAAGAAGCCATGCTGTCAGTCTTAGGTTTAGTCTCTCTTTGCTGTCAGGAATAACTGATGGAAGTAGTATTTTATATATGGTCACTATTGATATTATTGTTACTGAATGAGAAGTACTTGTCGTGTACTAGAGGGCTGTGAAAGTGCAATAAAATGTGATTCCTGCTCCATGTTAACATAGGATGATAATGTAACACCTGAAATTTGCCATCAGCTCTTCAATGACGTGTGTTAAATGTCTTGTTCATCTTAGCCTGTTTGCTAGGAGACAGATGCCTACATCATTAAGCTGTCATAGCACTTTGCTCAAAGTACTAACAAGTCTTAAGTCTGCAGAAGCTAGCAAAAGTCCTGTCAGACGAGCTCAATATAATAAGGCACAGGAAAATATGAGAGATCAGAGGAATGTAAAGAACATGCAACCAAAACAGTGAGTCGTGATACCTCATGTCTTACTATCCACATTGATTTCTGCAATAATTACCCTAGTTATTTCATTCAGTATCTGCCCTTAATGCTGTATCCAATACTGGT